ACTGCTTATTTATTTTGAGAGGGGGGATGTGGGGAGTATGTACAGGGGGGGAGAGAGAGAGAATCCCAAGCAGGCCCTACACTGTCAGCAAAGAGCCCAACTCAGGGGCTCAAACTCACGAACCGTGAGATCATGACCTGAGCTGAAATCAAGAGTCAGATGGTTAACCGACTGAGCCACCCAGGCGCCCCTAAACTAGTCTTCTGCCTCCAATTCCAGTGCTCTTTCAATGATGATAAACTAGAATAAAAGCTGCTAGCTACAAGAAAAAGCATTCTCCTGCCAATCCATGGCCTCTTAGCCCCAATATTCACACACTCCATCAGAAAGGTATCCACTACACTCAACTGCAATTGGGGGTAGTAGGGGAGGCATTCCTTTAGCCCTATCTGAGGCCCTATGCAGAAATCCAACATGCTTTACCAAGGTCTCCAAGTGACAAGAGACTTGGGTTAGTCTAATTCTGAAGAGAAGTGCTACCACCCTAAATGAGTGACTAAGGTGGAAGTTAAGGGAGCTTTTCAAACTTGTGAGACCATTCTAGGCTCTTGGCTATAACCATCATGTCGCCTGGACCACCACAGATAACCATGTTCTTAATATATTTTAGGCAGTTAACAGCAAGTTAATAGGAGGGAATGTATCCTTCTAATTGGTTTCTCTGAGAAGCTTGAGTAGAATCAGCCAATTACATTCTCCATCCCCATGCCCCCCATTCCTCCCCACTGTAAGGTAAGATGAACTTTAAGAAAACATGCCATGAGTAGCTAGGGTGTTACCTGATTGCATATCCAATGTGGCCTGCAATTTAGGGGGGCAGTAGATAGCATTTGCTGTAGTTCGAGCAGAGGTTAAGGCAGCTCGGGCTTTCGGCAGGTTGCTCAGGGCATGGTATGTTTTGCTTTCTAAAAGCTGTACTTCCACCAAAAGGGCTTTGTCATCCATCTTTTTCAACTCCCGCAGCAGCTGAGAACCTGGAGCAGGAAAAAATATATACCCCTTTGTTAGCCATAATCTTAATACCTTAATACTGTAACGTCTCACTCTCCCACCCTCATAAGAACACTCAGGATAAAGAAACTGGCCTGAACTCAGAGAGGTAGTCTATTTGCAAGAATTAATTTTTTTTTACTTATGTGCTATTTTCTCTTCCAAAAGAGAAACACAGACCTCTTTGAAGTTTTCTACATACTAAAGACAACATTAGGGCCAAAAATCCTATAAGCTTACTCAGAAGATCTGAATACAGTGAGAATCTCCACCCAGAACATGCTGAAACTAGTTATTCAGTTCAGACAGCCACCTGGTCTCATTCTCTTCCTGTCTAGCAATCATAATACTACATAAGAAACGCCAGGCACTAAGATTGGAGGGGGAAGGAAAGAGTTCTGGATATGCCACTGTTCTCCAAATACACCTTCTTCTCATCTCAGATGAGAAAATCAAATCCAAATAGACTTGCATCATATATACAAATTAACTCAAAATAAATCAAAGACCTGAACATAAGAGCTAAACCCATAAAACACAGGAGTAAATCTTTGTGATCTGGGATTAGGCAATGATTTCTTAGGTATGATACCGAAAGTGTAAGCAACAAAAGAAAAAACAAATGGGACTTTAAATTAAAATGTGCTTCTGGGGCGCGCCTAGGTGGCTCAGTCAGTTAAGCATCCAACGTCGGCTCAGGTCATGATCTCACAGCTGGTGAGTTTGAGCCCTACGTTGGGCTCTGCTGACAACTCAAGAGCCTGGAGCTGCTTCAGATTTCTGTCTCTGTCTTTCTCTGCCCCTCCCCCGCTCACGTACTGTCTGGCTCTCTAATACAAATAAACATCTAAAAACAAATTTTTTTTAATGTGCTTCAAAGGACACTATTCAAGAAAGTAAAAAAGCATCCCATAAAATAGGGGGGAAAATTTTGCAAACCACGTATCTGGTAAGGGACCTGTATCTAGAGTGAACAATAAAATGACAACCAACCCAATTAAAAAACAAGCAAAGGATTGAATAAACATTTCTCCAAAGACATACAAATGGCCAATAAGTACATGAAAAGATTCTCAACATCATTAGTCATCAGGGAAATGCAAATCAAAACCACAATGAGATACCAATTGCACCCCCCACGAAGATGGCTAAAATAAAAAAGACAATAAATAAATAAAACGTGGCATAACCACACAATGGATATTCAGCAATAAAAACGAATAAAGTACTGATATATGCTACAGCATGGACGAACCTTAAAAATATGCCAAGTGAAAGACCATATACTACAAGATTCTATTTATAAGAAATGTCCAGTACAGGAATATCCATAGGGGCACAAAGTAGATTCATGCTTGCCTGGTTGGGGGTGGGGAACAATGGGAAGTGATAACTAATGGGTACATGGGTACAAGGTTTCTTTCTGGGGTGATGAAAATGTTCTGAAATCAGATTGTGGAATGATTGGACAACTGTGAATATACTGTATTCGTGTAAATTCAGTGGTAAAAAAACAATGAATTGTACACTTTTAAAAGGGTGAATTTGGGGACACCCGGGTGGCTCAGTTGGTTAAGTGTCTGACTCTGGATTTCGACTCAGGTCACGACCTCACAGTTCACGAGATCAAGCCCCATGTCAGTATATTCATATTCTCTCTCCCTTCCTCGCTCGCTCTCTCTCTCTCCCCCTCCCCGCCCCTCCCCTGCTCACGCATGTGTGCGCTCTCTCTCAAAATAAACTTTATTAAATAAATAAAAGGGTGAATTTTATGGTCTATGAATTACATCTCAATAAAACTGTTGTTTTTTTAATGCTACTATGTGAATCATATGAAATCCCATTTTGCTGGATAAAAACTTAATACTGGCAATTTTTTCAACTTTAATAGAGAACCATAATCTTTCATCTGGGGAAAATAGCCCAGATCTACCCACTAATTTAAAAAAAAGAAAAAAGAAAAAAAAGAAAGAAAGAAAAAAAAAAAAGCAGCAGGCAAAGACTCCAGGGTGTTTAAAGGCCACAAAGGGAAAGCCTTTAGTCGGACCACTCTAGCTGCCATATACATTTGCACCAGTTAACTTCTTGGGCTTTAAAAGAGATTTTAAATATAATTATAAACAAGTATAGTAAATGTAATAGTCAAACACTTGCAGTTTGATCCTTTTGGTTTCTAAATCTGACAGACTAACTCTGGGTAGTTATTCACAACTTCCAAATGGCATTTTTCCATGACAGGTTCAGTAAATGTAAGCCACTTTAAATCCTTCTTAGAAGTAAACAGAACATAAGTTGTTAGTATGTAACTAGTAAGAGTGGCCAGGTTCAGAATACATTTATTTAGCCAGCTAGGATGCCTTATTACTTTCTACCAGCTTACTTACCCAAATGCAATGCTTCCTGGTACCTCTTGGTATCAAAGTACAAAGACACCAGTCTTGCCTAGGAAAGAGAAAAGGCATTGACTGACAGAAAGAAAGAAAAAGGCCAAAGAAAGAAATCAAAGATTGACAGTCACAGAACTGTTACTGTTGAATACACAAGTCCTGGAGAGAGCACCAAATCCAGCCCATTATCTCCTACCATGGCCAGTGATTGTTAACTTTACTGTGCTACTGCTTACTCTTCTGAGCCAAACAGCAGGTCTATCTCAAAACTGCCACCAGAGTATTCTCCTGAGTGGGATTACTATCAATAACCTTTGGCTGCCTGGATAATACAAAATTACTGAAAATAACTTTTGATCAGAATGGTGTTAATTACATTCACAGTCTAATACCCAAAGACCTGAAATCAGTACTAGTGTAGGCACATACCTCCAAAGCTTGGCGTAAGAAAGTTCTTTTCTCTGATTTGGCCCATTCGATGCACTCTAAACACAACTCGACCTGCAATGAAGAGACAGTACGTGCAACATTATGTCCTCACATTCTTCCCACAGACCTTGCTTTGGAGAACAACTTTAATTCCCTCCTTATATATTACCCATGTTGCTCTGTTTAATGTCACAGGGGACATGCCTTGATCCACAGTATCTCAAAGTGTAATGGTTATATCATAATGGAGAATCAACTTCGTTTTTTACACACAAAGTATTTTTGTGCTTAGATTGTGTTCTTTTGGAAAAGAGCTTCCTTTTTAAGATTCCTCTCCTACCTTCCCAAAAGGAACCCAGAACTTCCAACATATATAGCCCTGGAATATAGATTTCTACAATGGATGAGAAATCTTTAAAGCAGAAACTTCTGCAAATAGTAACAGTAATGTGTTAATACGAACCCACTGGTAATAAAGGGGAGAAATTCTCAGACTAAGCACAAATGCCTTGTTCCTAACACTTGCTTATATGACTCTAAAGGCCCTTTCCAATACTAAGAAGTGCAACCAACCGATTCATCATCACAATACAATACACTTAGCACATACTAAACGGAGTAAAAAAAAAAAAACAAAACTAGAATTAGCCTAGCACTTAAAAGGACTTTAAAGCTTTATTTAATGGTATGCTTTGGGAGCACATGGCTGGCTCAGTCAGCAGAACATGTGACTCCTGATCTCAGGGACGTGAGTTTGAGTCTCATAATGGGTACAGAGCCTGCTTTTAAAAAAATGAATAAAAATAAATAAAGTTGCTTTGAACCCCCAGTTCTATCTGCCACCCAAACAGTGATATGACATGCAAAGTAACTGATTTAAAGGAGTGTTGTCGCTAGATGGTCTACATGCCATCAGGCATCTGTGACATCTTAGCTTTGAGAAAGTACATATTAACTACTTATATCACTTATATACATATTAAGATCTTATATCACTTCCGTTGAGGCAAGTTTTGTTATTAAGATTCCTAATGAAAGCATAAGATAAAAAGAAACTGAACTTTCTAGAGAACTAATTGCTAATACAACAAGTCTTTAAATCCAAAGTTCTCTTAAGAGGTGTGTAAGGAAGGAAAAGGAAAGGAACATAATCCAGATTGACAGATCATCTGCCTTTAGATCCTAAGTTCCAAGCTCAGTGAAGAAACAGATGACATTACATGGTATTTAGCGGGACTCACCACCATAAGAGTCACTGGAACCTTTACAATTCACTGAGGCCCCCTGGTGGCTACTTAATCTCCAGCACTAAATTCAACCGACCTAATAAAAATTCTACAAAAACTAAAATAAAAGCAAGCCAACCACAATTTCAGTGTTCTGCATTATGTTCTGAAAAGCCAACCTCAAAGTCAGATCAGTTCATAATGTGAATGGAACTGAAAATACTTTGCTGAATGTGTTTAACAATGAAAATACAAGAGTCCTTAGTTCTGTAAGTCTTGGGAGGGCTAAGAAATGCTTACCATGCCAGTTTTACACAGGGAGCTTTTTCAGAGAACACAAAAATGGACGCCGAGGCTCCTGATTCAGTAGTCTCGAACAGAACCTGGCCACTTGGATGTAGACCTCTAGTTAAGAAACACTGAATTCTACTCCAGCATCTCACCTGTCCCCATTTCCCTAACAGTCCAGATGTCAAGTGACTTACTCAAGGTCACATAACAGCTACTGGGATCAGAACTTGACCCTATCTCCAGTGCTCTTGTTCAGGTCAGTACTGGTATTTCTCCTAAAGCAGGGACTTTTTTACAAACTGAACTGAGATCTGTTACCCATTACAGGTGTGCATATTCTGCACTATCTAGGACTGTAATTGGTGACACCAGCGCCTCAAATTAAGTAAAAATTTTAAAGGCCATTGGCCTTGCTACACAACTATTTTGTTTGAGGCTTTGTGCCTTGTTAATGCTGACAATGACTGATAAAGGGGATAAGAATGTATGGAAAGCCCACGCTTCTAGAGGAAGCCCTTATTTGAGTACTAAACCTTGATGTGGTCGAAATCAGACATTTAAGTTTTCGTTTTTTTTAAGTTTATTTATTTATTTTGAGAGATGGGGGGGGGCACAGAGAAAGGGAGAAATGGAGAAAGGGAGAAAGGGAGAATCCTAAGCAGTCTCCACTCAAGGTCAGTGCGCAGAGCCCAATGTGGGGCTTGAACTCACAAAAACGTGAGATCATGACCTGAGCCGAAATCAAGAGTCAGGCTCTGACTCCCCGGGCTCCCATTCAGACATTTAAGTATTTTTAAAATGACTTTACTAACTAAATCCTTATGGGAGAAAAATTACTACTATTCCAAGTCTGAAGTCCTCTAGCATGAACTCCTTTCCACTGAAATAACTGTTTCAATAACAGGATTCAATATAAGGTTTCTTAAAATGTACTATTGTGGTTTCAGTTGGATAGACTATACCAAAAAATGGCTTTCCATAGTCAATTACCTAGAGATCTCTGAAAGGTAAAGTTAATTTTGAAATTTCAGTTTACAGGGGTGCCTGGGTGGCTCAGTCGGTTAAGCATCTGACTCTTGATTTCAGCTCAGGTCATGATCTCACAGTTCATGAGTTCGAGCACCTACATCAAGCTCTGTGCTGACAGTGCAGAGCCTGCTTGGGATACTCTCTCTCTCCCCTCTCTCTGCCCCTCCCCTGCTCAAGTGTGCACACACGCACTCTTTCTTTGTCTCAAAATAAATAAATAAATTTTAAAATAAAATAAAAAAATGAATCTTTTTAAAAAATGAAATTTCAGGGGCGCCTGGGTGGCTCAGTCGGTTAAGCGGCCGACTTCACCTCAGGTCATGATCTCGCGGTCCGTGAGTTTGAGCCCCGCGTCGGGCTCTGTGCTGACAGCTCAGAGCCTGGAGCCTGTTTCAGATTCTGTGTCTCCCTCTCTCTGACCCTCCCCCGTTCATGCTCTGTCTCTCTCTGTCTCAAAAATAAATAAATGTTTAAAAAAAAA